GACTGCCCCATCAAAGTTTAGCAAATATTTGGCTACTTTGTAACTAACCTTAGTTCTTATTCCTACATTTACGTTTTAAAAATGTATTTTTTTCTAAAGGTACATTGAGTGATACCAGGCTTTGAATCTTATGGTACACAGTGTTCTATTTATATTGATTAAGTTTAAGTGCCACTCACATTACCAAATACCTCACAGTTGACACGACAGAGCAGTTGGGTCTGACTCCTCAGTATTTTAGTAAAAAATTGTACTACGAATAGGTAGGTTGGTTTGATAAGGAGGATAAAACTGAACACTTAGCCAAACACAAATATCAAGGATAAAGCAAGAGAGCAACCATAATAAATAGGCAAGAATTGACTTTCTCTATCCTTTTTGTGTTCTTTGCAAAAAAACCTGCCAATTCATCGTGGTAACATACAAGCACAACAATGGAAGAGGTTTTGTACATTTTCAAATGAAAATAATAATTTTTAAAATTTCAAGAAAAAGAGGCTTAAATAATTTCTATGTCTAATTAATATGTAATTTAGCTAAGTCTTACTTTCTAAAATAATTTGAAAAAAATATTGGACTCTTTTTTTTACTATATTAAATTTTGTTATGCCATTAGTTTGATATGGCCTTACCTTGGAGCAAGGCCTGAGGTTTGGGTTCGTTGGCAAGCACCCTGTGGATAGGTTCTTCGTTGGGGAGTCCCTGATGGGATCAGAACCTGAGGGGGGAAAAAAATGAGAATTGGTGCACCACCCAGGGGGCATGGTGGATAGTGCCCCTCTCTATGATTCCATAATTTAGCTTTTGAACTTTAATGTCCATGTGTGAAACGATGGTAACACCTGAATGGGGTCATCAGTAGAAACTGACCTCCAGCCCTGAACTTGAGAGGTGTTTCATTATTGGACTTATGTGCAAGTCAGGAATTGCTCATAATGAACACCATATTCAAGCATAAGGATGTCCATCGGTGCACTTGGCCCAGGACAACCTTGGCCAGAGCTCAATGATTGACTTTGTAGTCCTATTTACTGACCAATGGCTGCACATTTTGGACACTCTAGTATAGAAAGGGACAGAGCTGTGTACTGATCACCACCTGGTGGTGGGGAAATGCTGGAAGAGAAGAAAGCACAACAGACTAAGAAGGCCCAAATGAGTACTGACGGTCTGCTTGGAAAGTCTGGTGGAGCCATCTGTCAGCAACATATTTAACTCTTACCTCCAGGAGAGCTTCTCTCACATTCCAGTGGAAGGCTACGAGCATGGAGTCTGAGTGGACCATGTCCTCTCCCTCTACTGTAAATGCAGCCATATCTGTGGCTGTGCCTGTCATGGCTGCAACCACCAAACTTGGTGGCGGACACCGCCAGTAAGGGAGGTCATCAACATGAAGTAGTATTATCAAGCCTGGTTGGCTTTTGGGACTCCTAATGCAGCAACCAGGTACTGTGAGGCCATGCCTTGGACGGTTTCAGAGGCAAAAAGTTCTGTCTGTTAAAAATTTGGGGAGACCAAAAAATATATATATATATTTGTCTGCCTCAAAGCTATTCTGGTAAACCATACTGTGCCTCCACAAGGGAAAGAAATGCTTTGTTAACACCATTTTTAGTGGGTGTGGTGAGCTACTGACCTTGACTGAGGAGATTTTTGGATGGTGAAAGAACACAGCTGACACGCCTTCCAAAGCAGAAACAGGGACTAGGTGCTTGGGATCTGACTTGTGCATTACCCTGGCTTAAGTCATAGACAAAAACTCCATGGTGGCAAGGCTCTGAGGTGGATGAGGTTCGCCCTGAGTACCTTAGATCTCTGGAGGTTGTTGGGCTGTTGGGGTTGACATGCCTGTTCATCATCTCATGGCATTGGTGGACTGTGCTTCTCAACTGCCTGACTGGGGTGATGATTTCCCACCATAAATTGGGGTGTGTATCAACCATTGGGAGATCACATTTTTTCGCCTCTGGTCACTGTACATGCAGAGCAGGAGTTTGATCTGAATTGCCAGCATTGAGTCAGACCTGTTGCGTGTTGGACTCTGGCAAGACTGCCCCTTGTCACTAGACCTGTTAATAAACTTTATAGACAGGGTGCAGCCAAGGACCAGAGGTGAACCTGGTTTTGGGACCAGAAGATTGTGTCCCTTCTTTTTGCGCATGATATGGTTCTGCTGGCTCCCTCCTGCAGACCTACAACATGCACTGTGGAGGATGACATCTGAGTGCAAATTAGCTAGAATGAGGATCAGCTCCTCCAAGTCCGAGGCCATGGTTCTTGAAAAAGGTTGCTTTCCTCCTTCAGGTCGGAGGAGAATTCCTGCCTTAAAAGGAAAAGTTAAATTGTCTTTGGGTCCTATTCATGAGTGAGGGGAGAATGGGGTAAGACATCGACAGACGGATCAGTGCAGCTTCCACTATAATGTGGATACTATACCATTCTTATGACAAGAGAAAGTTGAGCCAAAAGGCAAAGCTTTCACTCTACCATTTGGTCTACCTTCTTATCCTCACCTATGTTCAGGAAATCTGGATGATGGCCAAGAGGAAAAGATCGCAGATAGAGTGGATGAAATTAGTTCTGCAGAGTGGCCGGGCACTCCCTCGGAGATAGAGTGAGGAGCTCGGCCATCAGGGAGAGGCTCTTAGTAGAGTTACATCTCCACCTCCAGAGGCATCAGCTTAAGTAGCTAAGACATCTTTATCAGGTGCACCTTGTCACATCCCACCAGGACGAGACCCAGGAGATGGCCTTGAAGGAACTATCTTTCTAGTCTGGCCTGGGAACGTTTTAGGTTTCTCCCAGCGAAGTTGAAGAAGGTGTGTGGGAAGAGGGAAGTCTCGGCATGTCTGCTTAAACTCCGTGATAAGCAGATAAGTAGAAGACAACAAGTACAAGAATTAAATTTTAAGCTGTGCTTGCTGGTAACAGGTATACATATTATATACCAGGGGTCCGCAACCCAAACTGCTCAAAGAGCCATATTGGACTGAAAAAACAAAAACAAATCTGTCTGGAGCTGCAAAAATGTAAAGGCACGTATGGCAATACGGGCTCTAAGTGTATTAGCCCATTATAAAAAGGACTAAGTGGGCTTAAATATTTAATAAGCATTCATGATTAAATGTTTATCCTTGAGCAAATGTCACATAGTAGCATGAGGTGAGGGAGGAGCAGTGAATGCCCTAAATGCATGGACTCTACCATTCGCCACTTCACTGCCCTTCACCACACGGTTTGAATGTATTAGTTTTTCTTGCATTGATGAAGTTATAGAAACATGATAAAGGAATGTTTCAGTGTTGGATATGTTTCTGTTGGGAGGAGTTGACTGAGTCATGAGAAATCAAGAAGGAACTGACATCCATCAGAGCAGAGCTCTCTATCCCCGAAATCCAAAATCCTCTGTCTCCAGCATTCCTTGGTGTTATTTTTACTATTTGGATAAACACATACCTACATGATAGTGCTACCTGTTCGATCTGCTGACAGTTTTCCATGCTTGCAACAAAACTAGCAGCAGTAGTGGAGTTTGGAGATGCAATCCACTTCCTAAATCGATCTTTGCACTCCTGTAACTTATCCAGAAGTTCTCCACTCACGCTTTTTCTCTCACTCCCAACTACATTTTTATCCTGTCTTCCCTGGAAATGCCTTTCCAAATTACTCGGTTTACTTTTGACAACCTCTCATTACAAAGCAAAAATGCAGGCAATACTTCCCCACTGAGATTAAAAGAAGATGATTCGGTCTAATCTTCTTCGAATCCTCTGTTCTAATCAGCGATCTTACTTTTTTTTCCCTTTGGGATCAATGAAGCGAGACACACCTGCCGCTTTGTTTACCTTGCACCGCTCTGAAACGTGTGTTGCAGCCTATGGCCGCTGATCTCTTTGGCTATGGCGCTGATTTTCATTGAAAGGATTGTTTACATTTATTGTTTAAATTTATTATACACATTTTTATCGCATTGGAAAACATAATGAATGTTTGTTTTACCTACTAAACACCATATTGAAACAAAAAAAATTTATTATTTTCAAACATTTTTGAAAAAGCTCCAGGGAACCACAAAGGGGGCATTAAAGAGCCGCGTGCGGCTCTGGAGCAGTGGGTTGCCGACCGCTGTTATTTACATATACATTTCAAAACATAAAATGGTTGTACATTTTAAATGTCAAACTGAGGTTTGAAATTTATTTTGGCTTAAGTAAAATTTGCTTTTTTTTTTTTTTAATTTATATATAATACACCGCAGTATACAATGTCTATGTGATAGCAGATTTAGCTTAAGGTTTAAACCTTAAATCAAAACACTATCTGCTATATTTTATCACCATGTATGAGATTGTGAACAAAAATATATATTCACATCTTTTTTTTTAAAAAAAAAGGATTGATTCATATTTTAAAGTGTACATTTAATGTCACATGTTTAGTCACGTCTCACAAGTGACTAGCTTTTATAGTTTTCTAAACGTATGTCAATATAATATTACAATTAATTAAACTTCAAACCAAACATGCACTTTATAATACCCTTAATCACAAATAAATTTAAGTAATGAAGGATTTCTTTTTTACTTTAGTTAGTTAAAATGTTTAGAACTCACGTTGCTTCAAGTGTGACTCCAGGAATCCTCCTGTAAAAATATACATCATTGCGGTGACATAACAGAGCTCACTTGAAAAAGTATCCATGTGTTTAGGAGTGTGTATAGACATGTAGTGTGTGTTTGAACAAACTGATGGTCCCAACCAACATCAATGCATCAATGTTGTCACTGTGCAATGTGACAAGGTCTTTGGCGGTACACAGTAGAGGGAAAGAGGCAGGGGTTACTTGGTAAAAAGAGTGTCTTATTGAAACTGAAGCCTCATCTAACCATTTAAAGGTAAAAGCTCCTTTAGTACACAGCTCTAATTACAAATCTCCACCCTTCCTTTTCCTATTGGTAAGATTAGGTATGCTTATGCCTATGTATTTATCAGCTTAACCTCAGCATTGTATTAGAGGTATATAGGGGCAGCAGTAAGCTGCTCTAAAGGCATCTCATCATCATCAGAGAAATAATTACATCTCAACCAAAGACAGGCTCCTGCAGAATCTTAAAAAAGTTTATCCTCTGTTTCAAGATGCCGACCACCAACAGAATTATCTCTGAAACCCGAAAGTCAGATAAAGGTGAGCTTTCTGTATATAAAAAAAGATACAAAAAACTATATGTAATATATTTCATTGCATAGTTTTACATAAATACTAAGCTAAGTTTTAGATAACTTTGCACCATTTAAATTAACTGCATCTATTACAGTATAATGTGTATTGGGGCAGTAGCATGTGTATTATGTCTGAAGCAGATCCTGAGTGAATGGGTCATTGGAGTTTATGTCTGCTTGGAAAGCATAGTAATTCAATTAGCGATTTCATGCCTGTCATTATGAGAGGGTGTTTAACAGTTTTATTGCCTGGCAGCAGTGGTCTACAAGTGGCAGCATCATCGCTATTAAAAAGATTTAACACCCTTTCTCTGTGATAATAATATTCTGTATAGAGTAGATTATGATGCAACTGTAAAAACAGTGTAACAAAAGGATTAAACTGCGAGGCTTCAACAGAGGAGTCTTTGTGCTTATATTTTTTTATTTATGTTCTATATACAATATCATTACAGTATGTAAATACACATGGGCCTTCCATTTCTTCTAAGATCGAACTGGGATTTAAATCACAACATCTCTTATTTAGCTTCATTTTCTAACAGTTTATTGTTGTTTTAATCTATTTAATTGTCATACTGTCTTTAGATTTGGGAAAGTTTAGACTACTAGAGTGCCATGGAAAACACCTCTGCCTCATATTAGCACTTGTGGAAGCAGGATATTGTAAAGTGGATTATAACATATTTCTTCATATACACAATCATGAGTGATTGTATCAGCTCTAGGAATAAAACACTCATAGATTAAAAAGTGCTACAAAAGTTGATACAGGGGCAACAATTAGTCTTAAGTTTTTAGTTTGGTGTCAGTTTGTAATGAGGCCATGCAAAGCTGTTATTTTCATCACCTTTTGTTATATACAGGCAGGTGTCCTTTGATGGATAGATGTGACACATGCTGTGCCATGTAATTAAACTCATCATGTGAACTTTTTTAGAAGTGTTGACAGGAAGAAATGTTTGCATGGACTGAATGAGTTTAATTCCACCTTTAGTTCACAATGATTTATTGTTGTGTGCTTAGTGTAAGCTTTTTTGCTCTCTTAATATTAATCCTAATATTTCATCTTAGGATACACTTAATATTCTGAGATTATTAAAGGTCATAATTTGTGATTTGGCTGATGAGAATAATTAATGACTTTTTTAAGCCAGTTTTGACATCTTAATAGCAAGAGATTTGTGTGCTCTTTTAATATCTGTAATTTCGAAAGGAATGCACGCGTAGAAGTACTAGTCCGAGATACTGATAATGACAGTAGCATCAGTATATTTTAATAGTAGTTAACTAAGGACCTACTTAAAGGAAAGATTTATTCTTTGCCTAGAATTACAACAGCTTCCACTTATTTAGGGTTTGAGGTTTTTGGAAAACCTCCAAGAGTTTCCAGCTGTCCTTTTTAAAATCACACACACACTCTATCAGGTTACCCAGCTTATCTGATTTGTACAAACAAATCATATCAGGCATCACTTCTGATAATCTGGGCTAAGCATGGTGAGAATGAAATGACCCCCCCATTAAAACATGTGAGGTGTCTGAGAATTCTCTGCCACCTGACGCAAATCCACCCCCAGCTGAAGTGTTGATCCATAGGAAGCAGATAAGTTTTCTAAGTATACACTCTTTTAAATTACTCGCTGTAACATAGTATGTCTGACTCCTAATTTTGCATTTGAAGGATTGAAGAACTTGACCTCCGTTCAGGCTGACCCAAATGAATCAATCTTCTTGTTTGTGCTTTTCAGTTTATGCAGGAAAGAAAAATAAAGCTGGAAACACGCTTGCAGGTGAGAACAACCATATACACAGCATTAGTGACAGCATTAAGTAAAAAAAAAAAGTTACATTTTTATTTATCTCTGAATCTATTTATTTTTTGTTCTACAGTAAAAATCCCTGTCTATGAGCCAAATATTCCTGAACCAAAATGTCGGGCTGATCTCATCAAACGTAAGATAATCTTTTTATAAAATCTTAGTGAGCTATACACAAAGCTAACCTGACAACAGCCAGATGCAAGCTGGGCGGAGCGAGACATGCATCTGGCTGTTGTCAGGTTAACACAAAGCAGTGTAATCTCCAAAACTATTAAGAAAGAGTGAAATGTACAGTTTGATATATTACTGTGCAAATTACATTTACAGATTAACATTTAATTCCAGTACAGCAGATAACTTGCAAAGATAAGAGAAACATATTTAGCCCATACTGCATCTTACAGGTTTTACTCCAAAATTTGAACCATGGTAAATTATGTATCCCTTTAACTGAATACATTTGATATAAAAGGATTCATTGAAAAATATGTTTTATATTCATACTTAAATATTAAATTGCACTTTACTGACAGAATAAAAAAAAATACTCAGTTAACTACGACCATAAATTCAAATTGATAAAAAATATCTTTAGTTATATTAGACAACACTCATTAGATGATGGAATGGGTTTTACCATCTGTGAAACTTTAATCCAGCAGAAAAGCACCTAATTTTTCCACTGATAATTTCTTGCACCAATATTTAAATATGGTTGCATTAGTTTATATGCATGAATCAAACAAGACACATTTTTGACAGATTCGTTTTTTGCTTTAGCTGTGTTAAAACAGCTAAAGTAGAAACTCAAACTCAGATTTGCACATAATTCATTTTTTTTATTATTTTACAACACCACTTTTCTAAGTTATCGGTCAATCATGTTATTTCAGACTGGATTAATCTGTCTCTGGATGACAGAACATCCAATAAGGTGCTGTGGATCACAGAAGATGGGGCTAAAGTGACCCGTATGACTGATGACATCACTTGTCCTGTATTGGACAGACCAGAAAGATACGAGTACACACCACAGGTAAAATATATCATAAAACCTAATATTTAATTTATCATGAATTTAACTGGTAGGATAAAAGTAAGATGTGTGCTGTTACTGCTTTGGTCTGTTAATGATATTTTCTGAAAAGTATCACCTATGTCCTTGCTTGTTTTCCAACAGGTTCTTTGCAAAGAAGGCATCCTTGGTTTCCGAGGCTATTGGGAGGTACAATTCTCTGGATGGGTTGTGATCGGAGTAGCATTTGAAAGATCCGGAAGGAGAAACAGCGAGGGGCCCTGTGGTCTCGGAGAAAACGAGGAATCCTGGGGGCTGGAATGGAGCGGCTCCTGCTATCAAGTCTGGCACAATGGGCATGGAAAGGAGATAGGAGGGATTCCCCATTATACCACAATAGGTGTATATGTTGATCAGCCCGCTGGTTTACTCAGCTTCTATGCTGTTGAAGAGATAGAAGAGGGAGAGGGAGGTCCACTCAGAAAAGAGGTTAAGCTTTTGCACCAGATCAGAAGCTCGTTTAAACAGAAACTGCTGCCTGGTTTCTGGGTGGGGACAAACTCTTACTGTTTAATCCTAAAAAAAGAGGAATAGAGAACCAGACTGACATCTGAACACCAGATCTTGCAGTGAATAAAACTAAATTCTGCAAATAAATGAGGGTTGCTGAAAGAATCCCTTTAAGATAAAACAAGTAGGTGGAGAGCTTTAAACAAATTTAACTGGAAAGACCAACAAAGGGATTTAATATGTTTGGTTCCCTTTTCACTTGTTGTCTACCTAGACTTCTGGTTCTAGATTAACACACCAGTAGCAAGCATAGCATATTATTTCCACTATATGTAAAGTAATTTTAAGGGACACTTCCAGTTAAAATCTTTTGCCATTCATCTTCTACATCAGCTTCTTCTGTAGAAGTCAATGGCAACTGGTGCCATTTTCTACTGTAGTGGTCTATGGGTAAAAGTAGGATTCACTCTGGTCAAATTGGCAATCCATCACAGGGCAACAGTACAAACAGCCATACACAAACTCAATTATACCTAAGATTAATTCAGAGACCTTGTTGACCTAACAGTCATCGTTATAGACTGTTGAAACAAAGCCAGAGGAACCCTAAGAAGGGATTCAAACCAGGAACCTTCCTGCTGATAGGCACCAATGCAGCTAACTGTGCAAAATAAAACAGAGTAGCAATTTTGTGAAGAATTTTGGAGAAAAATGCATTGTTTTAACCAAGAATCTCTTAAGAAAGTTTTAAGGGGCAAAAAATGGCTTTCTGTTGCTTGTATTGTGTCATCATGGAGTACACTCAGGAGCATTTATAACATGGCAGATATGTTGGTTGGATAAAGGGCTTTCAAACAAGACACCTGTGTCAGTAACTCAGAAACAGGCTAGACCTTTGCTTACTGGTTACAGTAAGTCTTTCTACTAAGTTACTCGAGGATCATGGGTACATCAGACAGCATAAAGAGAGCTGTACGATAACCAAGATAAGAAATTTTCAAAATATATTTTTTACGCACTTCATGTTTTTACTCATATATTTGTGTTATAACACGTATGTGTTATTTTCCCCCAATCGTTTCAAAGAAAACCGTTGATTATGTTGAAAGTGTGGAACAGACAAGGGGTTGAATAAACTATATACCAGCAAAAAACTGTTCTATTTTATTTTTTGAGTTACTTATAACTTATTAATAGTCACAAGACAATATGCAAAAATCTACAAATAATAATACACATACATACAATACATAAAAACATATTTAAAAGGTCTCATTTTGATTTTGGTTAAATTATGAGATTTGCAATAAGTCTGCTCATTATCTAACACAAAGATTTAAAAGTGTCTAATTTTTTCATAATGCTACCAAAACATGTCAAAATTTGCAACACATTCCCACAATCAAATATGCACAGTCAAATGCATTGATAGTTATTACTAGAAAAAGATATGCTGATGATCTGGAAATATCAAAGACAAAGGCTAAACTGGAGCACCTCAGGTACAAAAATATACTGATGATCCTGAGGGCTGAAAAACATTCTACAGGACAAATGTTTAAACCATTTGAAGGTGAGTTACCTACAATTGCTGGCATTAAAGTAACGTAGCCTTCCACAAATTAACACAACAAAAAAATTCACCATAAAGTTTAAACCATATGTTGAGGATTGGTTTTATGTATGGGGCTATTTTGTTGCTTCAGGACTTAGAGAACCTTTTTCAAATGTTGGAGCAGAAAATGTCGAAAAAGAATAAAGGGCAGTCAGTTCATTGAATTCACCTCAGTTTATTTATTTATATAGCAGCACAACACATGTAATCTCAAGGCACTCTATAGGGACAATTCAATCAGATCATACAGCCAAATTGGTAAAAATGTCAAATTCATTGACTTTGCAGGACAAATTCCTCCTGGATTAGCACGTGGCAACGTTTTGTGGTTGACTCTAAAGCAATCCCTTTCTTAAAAAATAAATTTATATGGTCAAATAATGTTAGACATACATACTGTACAGTGGTGCAGTAGGTAGCATTGGCGCATTGCAGCAAGAAGGTTCTGGGTGGGATTCCCGGCCCTGGCTGTTTCTGCATGGAGATGCATGTTCTCCCTGAGCATGCGTGGGTTCTCTCTGGATACTCTGGCTTCCTCCCACAGTCCAAAAACATGACTGTTAGGTTAAATGGCTTCGCTAAATTCTCCTTAGGTGTAAGTGTGAGACCTTACAAGATTGTACCTCACCTTTCATCTATTGAAGCCTATCCCAGCAACCCTTGTGTCGGAAAATGGATGGATAGTCAAATAAAGCTATTTCAAAGAACTTCCCTTTCTTCTTTCTAAATTGTGATTTTCTGTCAATGTGATGAAGATGGAGCAAACCAGAGGAACTTACATTTAAGTGTTTCCTCCGCCCTTCGTGTACTTTTCAACCTATGAGAATACCCAGTAAAGTTTACAAAAATTAAAAACTGGTTAAGTGTTTAATTTGTTATAGCAAGGCCAACCCACGTTTTTTATTCAAAATATTCATACTTTCATTTAATTTGTCATTATTTTTTTTTTTCATGTTTCAATATTTAGCTGTATTATAAAAAAAAACATAAATACTGTACACCACATTCAGAGTTGCTTTACAAGTTAAAGTCCAATACTGGTTCACGCCACCAGAGAGAGATACCTTGTAGTAACGCATTTACCTAGCGTCTACCTACTCAGTTAACTGACCGTTCGGTCAGATGTTCACTATTTTTGCTCCCCGCTGATCATGTGACCCCGGCTTCCCGCACGTTGCCTGCGCCACCTTTGTTCTCTCTTGTTCCGAAAACAAATCCCATGATATTTTTTAAGGAGAGCTCTCGCAAAGAATTCTGGGATATATCTGCTCGTCTGGTGACCATGGTTGCATGCTACTTTTCAAGGTGCATTGTGGGAAATTTTGAGTCCAGTGCATAGGGGTAGGGTTTAGAGGCCAGTTTGGGATTGGGACAAAGATCCAAAGCACCGTGTTAGGTTCGTCTCTGACTGATTCAGTAGGGGAAGAAAAAAAAAACTTAAGAATTACAAAGTCATGGCAGGACTTATTATATGCCATCAACCTGCTGCTGTATTGACTGAAACATGCCATATACTGTGTTCTTGAAACCTCCCAATTTGTCTAAATTAAAACTATATTTAAAAGAAGATAGGATCAACACACAGTTGATTTAATCATGATTAATTGTAATGTATCTCAAGTCCTTAAAGGCTGTTACTGTAGTCAAATTCTGTGCCAACGCTTAATTACTTTTATGTTTAGCTACTGTTTAGGGCTAAGCTAGTTTCGATGGCCTTTTTATTAAATAACTTAATCGTCCGTTGTTAATTTTTTCAACAATTATTAAACTTTTCTTTGTCTGATATGAAATATGATAGATTATTGAGTATTTAGCTGGAATAAAGCAAAAACAAAATAATCTGAAGGGGAGTTTATACTTTTTTTTATAAAACTTGAGGCACGTCATTGAGGTATTATTGCTCAGTGAAACCAAAACTGCTTATTTATGTTGTCATATCAATTTCCTGTAGTTTGTCTCTTTTTGTACCAAACAAGCCACAGATAAGAAAACTGATTAAACACGTTTCTACACCTTCCCTTCAGTTAAGTTATGAAATAACTCTTGTTCTTTCCAACAGACCTCTTACATTTCAGTGAGGTCAGACTTGAACATTAGTCTTCCTATGAATGTCAAGTGAGACACGTAACAACCCCTCTACCAGACGCCACCCATAGGCTCAGACCTCATTCCACTAACGTGACAGTTCTGTGAGACCCTCCTAAAGCCCCTACATCAGCTACTACGTGGATATAACTCAATCAGAAGACAATTTGTTCCATCTCTCTGGATGAACTAACTATTCTTAATGTGGATTATTGGCACATTAATTTTAAGATGCAGAGGAATCCTAAATCTACAACCAGCGTCCCAGAACACAGCAAATCAGGTATGTCCTTGTATCAATTCCTCCAGTGCAAATGAGGATAGAATAGTCAATTTTGAGGTTTTAGTTGACAGCTTTCATACTATCCTAGATAGTCAGGGAAAAGGTATTGAATATTGTTTATGTGCCATAATTTAGCTTTATTCTATGTAAATGTAAACATTTCACCTTGCAATCATATCTCTAGAACAGCTATAGTCTTTTTCAATTTTTCTGTTTGATGTTTGCAGGAAAATTAAGAAAATCAAAAAAGAATGAAAAAACAAATGCAGGTAAAACAGAGATGAATGCATTATCCTCATTGTGTTTTATGTATTAATAGTGTTATGTCAGCTTGTTCATTTTCTTTTTGTGCAGAGGGACCTCCTGTTTATTTGCCAGATATTCCAGAGCCTAAAAGTAGAGCTGAGCTGATGAAGTGTAAGAGCTTTTTAGATTCTGCATTGTTACAGTAGTTGCATATTTTTAAAAACTGATTTATAGCTTTATGTTCTTTCACTAGACTGGATAGATCTGACTTTGGATAAGAAAACAGCCAATAAGATGTTGTGGATTTCCGATGATTTTTCCAAGGTTAGTCGAAGAACAAAAGAGGTTTGTCCTGTGCTGGATGGACCCGACAGATATGAATATTCTCCACAGGTATGTTGAAAAAGTTTCAGAAGTGCACTTGAAACCTGACTTAAAAAGACACAGCTGTTTTAAATCCATTTTTTCCCTCATTTCCTTTAAGGTATTATGCAAAGAGAGCATTTGGAATCAAAGGGGTTACTGGGAAGTTGAGTACTCTGGTTGGGTAGCAGTTGGAGCCACCTTTGACGAAGCAGCAAGGAGAGCAAATTCTGAGCTGAGCGGTCTTGGAGAAAATGAACACTCCTGGGGTTTGTGCTGGTCGGGAAGTTGTTATCAGATATGGTTCAACTGCAACCATGAAGACATCACAGAAGTCCCGTTTTGCTCCACAATTGCCATGTACATCGACCAGCCAGCAGGGATCATAAACTTTTACATTGTACCTGGTGAGGGCACAGAGAAGGAGGTCAGGCTGTTGCATCAAGTCAAAACTGTGATTGACAAAAAGATTCTGCCTGGTTTCTGGTTAGGAGTTCAGTCCTCATGCACCTTACTGAAAAAAACAGATTAAGCCACATGTATATTTATGATGACACAAAGATTTAATCTTCCACAAATCAAGTATGAATATTTGTGTGATTTATATCAATATATGTGCTACACAATATCAAAGATAACTGTGAGGTGTAGAAAAAGGAATCCATGGTTTTCCAGTGTTTTAGGACTAAAAATGTGGAGGAATTTGATCTAGATTTTGCAAGCGGATGTCTGAAAATAAAAGGGAGTGGAACTGACAGCTGAGAATTGAGTTAATTTGTGTACAAGGGTTTTAATTTAATCTTAAAATAAACCCAGCTGTTCAGTGAAGGCCTCAGAAGCTTGCTAGAGAACTTCAGCGAACAATAATCTTTTAAAAACCAAATAACAAAGCAGACAAGTCAAGGAGAAAGTTGTAAAGATTTTGGAAATAAATAGGGTTCTGAAATAATATCCCAAGCTTTGAAAATCTCACAGAACTTTGTTTAAATCATTGTCTGAACATGGAATGCTCCTGCAATTTATCAAGACTCAACCCTCTACCTAAACTGACAGATGGGTCAAAGAAAGCAGTAATCAGAGACTCAGCAAAGAGGCCCATGGTAACACATGAGGAGCTGCAGATATCCACAGCTCAGGTGGAAGAAATCAATGGCAGGAGAACTACAAGTTGTATAATCCACAAATCTGTACGTGTTAAAACGGTATGTATCTCTTCAAGACATGATCTATAGTCTAAAATGAAAATGTTGTTCCAACTTAAATGAATTGCTTCAATTGGGAAAAAGTAATTGAATCAAGTCGATCCAACTTTATTTATTTAAAGTGGAGGGCTTTCGCGAATTTTTGAAAAGAACCGCCTTCTCCAGAAAATGCACATGCACAACCCTGTACCCGCTCCCGAGAGGGAATATCTATTAAATGTGTGCGAAAGCATGCATAAGCCCATTTCTCCTCAGGCACGCTCTGTTTAAAAGTTGCTGTTTGCATTGCTCATACAAGCTTACTTTCCAAAAGACGATTTGCACTTTTTCCACTGTGTCGGACTCAACACAGTGAAAATGAGGATGAGCACGTAGGAAAGGCAGTTGGAGCAGTATTTTCTTTATAGGGTGTAAACTATATACTGTCACCTTTTTCTCCATGCATGTTCTGTCTGTTCAATACAATGGAATTTGTTGGTGCAAATATAAATAATTAAATAGTTATATTGCTGTATTTAATAGTTTGAAACAAACTGGAAACATGCGTATTAAATCAATAAAGAAAATGTTTAAGTACTTGTATATTGCTAAGGTCTCTTTTTTATTTTACTTAATGTACTAAATTTAAGGGGCAATAAAGTTTAAATGTTTTTAAGATGACTTAAATGCAAGGCCATAAAGTGAAATTATTAAATAAACAATAAAAGTAACATTTAAAAACACATTTAAGATAGAGTTTGATTAATTAATTAGATTTGTGAATCTCAAGTGCTATTTAAATTCTCCATGTAAAGATATTAATTTGAAAACTCACTGATTTATTAAATCAATAATTTTTGTGGTCTCTTTTGACTTTCCATACATACAGTATTCCACATTGATTCAATTTTATGTTAAAGACGGATTTGAGGTCCAAAAATTGTGAGTCGAACCTTCCTTTAGGTCTTCTAGCAAAGATCTAGTATTCGCTTTTTAAATACTCTTTTAAAGGTATTTGCTGCAGTTACAATTGAATTTCCTGATAGTGGGACAATTATGATTTTTTCTTTTCTATTCTATCCTATTCTATTCTATTCAGCTGGCAGGTTATGTGAATAGATGTTGAGTGTGTTCCTCAGTGGTCAGTTGCAAAAAGTTTATTTAGAGGAGTGACTTCATTTGCATTTACAAATAGTTTTTTGTTTTAAATCAAAATAGAGTTTTTTATTCTTCTTGCTCATAATTTAATTATTGGATGGCTTAGTTCTAACCCCACCTCCCTTTCTTCTACCCACCCAGAACAATTTCCCCAGATATTCTTCTCTGCGTAAAAGGAGTATCAATGTAAAGCTATTAGAAAAAGGATGATTAGTTTTCTTCAAGCAATGAAGGTGACAAAGAAAATATGGAAGAAAGTACTCTAGTAAGATAAGATCCAAATTAACTCTTTTAGCTAACAACCATAACAAAATGTGCAGAAGTAAACTAATAAACCATCATTGCCTATCGTTCTTAACACACATTCACAAAGGTGAGGATAGTGTATGCAGCATTGCGATGTGGTGATACTTTCCTATATTAGGACCTCCTAAACATACAGCCAGAGCTACAATGGAGTGGTTTAGATCTGGGGTCTATAGCCTTGATCCTCGGCATCTACTGTCCTGCATTATGTTTTTCTCTGCCTCCACATACCTGACTTAAATAAACGAGTGATTACAGTAAAAGGCCTCTGCAGCCCTTGGTCGCTGTTAAAGAGGGATTTCAATATTTGATTTAGCTGTGTTGGAGAAGATACACATCTAAAACACTGGCAGTTTAAGACAACCTGGTTTGGATCCCATATTATTTTTGTCACAGAAGGGCCTAGTCAGAGTCCAAAACTTAGTGCAGCTGTGAAGCTGTGGAAAGAAGGAGAATAGAAGAGAGATACTTAAAATGCTTCCACTGTTATTTTTGCTAAAATACTGTGTTGCAGAAAAACAAACCAGAAACAAAACTTACAAATGAAATAGAAGGCAGGGAGGAACACAGAGCTGGAAAATGGTGCATGACAGAGAATCTCACAAGATACATTGTACAAAATTGGTGATGACACTTATACATGAGTTAATTAACCATATAGGGACCTTCCAACTTTCCTATCAACTGCATGGGAGCTACACTGTTGTACACAACCCCCACAGGAAATATAGGCACAGACTAGCTTGTGAATTTTAACAAATAAATACATAAACATGCAAATATATGTTTATGCATCTTCATATTTGGGTTTTATAATGAAGAACTTCAGCCATTCTATGTTTGCATTACTTTTATATTTTGAAAAGCATCAACTATGTGTCCTTTTCATAGTGACATCTGTAAGGCTAAACCCCTGTCCAGATTCAGCACAGCAGTCAACTGCTACCCTGAGAAGTATTTTTATTGGTGACCCCATGAAAGTCAATGGGATAGCAGCTAGGAACAGGAGGCAGGAGTTATAATTTGAGGTATGAAGCAGCGAGGGAGAGAAGAGAAGAGAGAAAGCAGGTGAGACAATTAGAGACGTGAAAACAGCTGACGAAGATTAAAGTAATTAGCTGAGGAGGAAGGAGAACGCTGAGAAGAAAAGGGTTAACCAAAGGGGAAGGACACCTTACAAATAAAGATAAACATTTAACTAAATCTCAAACAAATGACGACTGATCACAACATGAGATTAAAAAAAACATGATAAATCTTGAAATTACCACAAAAATCAAGTGCTTTGATATAGCAAACCTTAGAAAAAAGAGAAAACAGCAACAACTAAAAGAATACGCTGGCAATAAAATAATGATTAACAGAAATACAAAAGGAGTGCATGACACCCCAAAAAGTATGATGAAATTCACAGAAATCGAGCCTTGAATAAATTTGCAAAGCACCGTAACTATTCAGGATGGGACAGGATTTCTTAACTGTTTTAAATCTAAAGAACATTTTTCAAGCTGATTGTTTTTGTTGTTTTTCATGTTATAAACCAAAACATTTCATAATAATGTCACATTTGGACAAAGAGACCCAGGACAGAATTGCTTCCCTAAGGATGAAAAAGATAAATTTAGGATCAGTTTCTTTCTTAGAAAGGTACTGTAGATCTCATTGCTTACCCCTTTCACACATACTATAAACCAAGGAGTTCTTGGGAATAAAGGTGGAGCACTGAGGGGGACTCAAACCATTAACACCCATACAGGCAGAGAACATCACGCAACCTCACTCAACAAGTATTGTGTAGATCCAAAGTAACAGAACACAAGTCATGCTAGTATGTCAAACACTTTAACTGCTGTCAGTTGTCTCTCAGCAGACTTTAAACAATGTAAAACATGTTTGGCAATGAAACATGTCCTGGCCTTTGATGTTTGAACAAGCGCTCAATTAATGATTCAAAGCTGGGAAATAAGCAATAAACCAACCTTTTTATAATAAATACAATTCTTTATGTGTATATGTTTGTCTTTTCTTGATTTTACCCATATAAACAATATAAATACATTGCATTATTGGGTAAATGGCTGGACATAGTGTTAAGTGCTTTGGAGTCCTCTTTAAAAGCTCTTTATAAGTACATCCCATAACAAACTTTATAATAAATAACACAAACTCTTTGATTTTTGTGTTTCTTTTTCAATGTAGACAACCTCTTACAAATCTATACATTTATTTAAAAAAAAAAAACAGCACCAGGAGCAATGAACATGAAATATTGAAGCGAATTTGTTATTTCTAAAACTTAACCGAAAATTATATTAATTGTTTGAAAGCATGAGAGGAAACACTTGATGTGATTGGTCTTGATCTTTATGCCTGTAAACAGGACAAAAAATAAGGTTTGCTCTACTTTAACAAATTTACTCTCACAAGAAACTGATCAAAATAAATTTTATTGCAACACTATTATGTATAAAGAGTAAACTTCAATGATCCATATACACAGGCTGATAAGGAAGGCTAGCTCTTTTATTGGATGCCATCTGGACTCAGTGCAGAAGGTGGAAAAAAGATTCGTAACTAAATTAACATATCTGTTAATTCTCAATCTGAAGCTGTTACTGAACTGGAAAGCTCCTTCAGTGACAGACTGCTGTATCCTAAATGCACAAGGGAGTGTTCTTACAGATCTTTCCTCCCAGCAGCAGTAAGACTTTATAAATATCTCTGTTCCCAACAACATCAATAAGTTTTCACATTCATGCTGATTTTTGCACAGTTTCTGTCTTAGTCAGTAAAAAAACATGCTGCTGTCCTTTTTTTTGTACATCTCTTGTGTTGCTGCTATGTTTTACATATCCATTTGTAGAAATGTCCACAGCTCTTATTGATTGTATTTTTTTCTCCAGATACAGAGTTGTTTTTATAGTAAAAACACTGTAAAGTACAATGCTTTATTTTTTAAATTAAGTTACCTGTTATTTTTATACACTTTTCTAAGGTCCACATTGTGGGACCACTTCTACTATAACCTGTTGCTGCTGTAACACCACAATTTGCACTTTGTGGGACAATAAAGGGATTTTCTATTCTATCAATGTTGGTTCTAATTTAAAGCAAGCTGAGTAGGTTAATTAAGATTTTAAAAATCAGCTGTTTTAAATGGAGCCTAAATATTTATATATATTTATAATATTTATATTAAAGGCTTAATTCAGCCTCAGATCTCATCGAATTGTAGTCTGATGCCCTCCTGTTGCAGGCCTATAAGTCCGGTGCCCCACCTTCGTGGTGGCCAATCATCATCCAGCATTCTGCCTTTAAAGCCTCTGCTTCTGTTTGCTTTCCATAAGCTTTAACCCCTCTCCGCTGAATCTTTACTATCATCCTTGGGAGCTCCTGCCGTATTTCCTCAGCACAAGCATTACATCATAATTCTCCATACCTATATTTTCCACCAGGGCCTCAGCACCAGAGTCTATATTTCTCATGCTAATAAACCTCCCTATTTCTTGCTTATCTTTTATGTGAGTCTCCCCAGGTTGAATTATCTGTCCATAACCCTTTGTTTTCAAGGGTCAAAATAATGTGATACAGAGGACCATTTCTAAAAGCTGTTGCTAAAAATGGGGGGAAAAAAACAAGACAGAAAGCTATTTAAAGGAGCTAAATATGAAACAGGAAACAATGCAGATAACAACTCCTCTTTTATGTTTGTACTAATATAGTCAGAGCAATTTATTTTACCTAAAAGAAATGTCACTATGACAAACAAGCATAAATGTGGATTCATATTTTGCAGGCAGGAACACTGAGGATGATGGTAATGATCAGAAGATGAAGAGGGGATAAAGGTTGCTTCCATGGTAACCATTCATTTCAAGGCTTTTGAAACATCCTGTAATGGGCCAATAAATATCAAGGTACTGCAAATAAGTAAAGGTTAACTTTATTTACAGAAATGTAAGAGCTAAGTATATTTAGATGACAGTATGAATATGTGAACCCTGAAATGTACACCTGTGATTAAAGTCCTCTCTGTAATTTAGGATTTATAAAGCTGTTCCTGTGAGGAGTTCATCTACATTAAAGTTACTCCGACAGTTAAACTTGTGTAACT